TGGAGTTGCAATGGTGAGAAACATGGGACGGTTTTTATTGTGTTCTGTCAATCTGGTTTCCAGTTTTCTTCCAGTTGTAATTTTTTGAGCTTTGACTGGAAACAGTTATGTATTTTAATTTTCAGGAAATTGGCTTGTTATTCATTTGTACAATATACATTTCAACTCCAATGTAATAATGTCCTTATCAATTTAGAAAAGGCTACTCTACAACTTAGTGAAAACCAACTTGAAGACCTGGGGCTTCACAAAACTTTCTATGGCATGAAATCTATATTTTTTTTATTGTTAGTATTCCTTAACTTTTGGCGATTAGCAATCATATGTGAAGAAAAAGGCTACATTGCTTTGGGCTTCTGTGGTTGTTATGTATTTAAGTACTTGGTCAGTTACATTTGCTGTTGGGATTGTTTTGGAGACTATTCTTCATTCTGATATAGAATTTTACCTCCTTTAACCATTTCGAGACGGGTCATGGATGACAGGCCATGTCATCTCGTTTGTTGACTCACTTTAAAAATTTTATTGAACTACTATTTCATGAGTTTATTCAACAAGTTTGGTATTAAATTGTAGATTATAATTCAAATTTTCGTACTATATATATTACTCAATTTCTTAATTTAAAAGCAAATATGAAAAAAAACACAGAGAAACGTCGATTTTTGTGTGTCACATGGTATGTTGAATGCAGCACTGGTTCAAATTAGATGTTTCTGGAGTCAAAATACTAAGTCTATATTTTCATACAAATTAGAAACTCAAATTACCAATATTGACAAGCAAGAACATAAAATCAGGATGTCTTTTCTATTTGCTGAAATATCACTCATGTACTGATTCAAACACAGTGGCCCATCTCACCTCTTTCCATTTTGGAAACAGTTTCATATATACACTTACTTCTATCTATATATGACGTGAATAACCAATTAGAAGCTCATAATGTCTTCCTAGTGGCTTACTTGGCCATTTTAATGTGTTTGGACACCATTTCTTTCTTTTGAATCAATATTTCAACAAGGTAGGGTGTGTCTTTAGTCTGCTCAAAATTTCATATTTTTTAGACTAAAATACAGCTTAGTTACTAAGCTTGATAAATTATAGTAGAATTCTATGGTATTAATATAGTAATTTATGATTTTTTAGTTATTCAAATGTATATATAAAATCTGAAAAAAATTATTTTGTTTCATATCATCCACATGCAATTTTTTTAGCAACCTGCATGAAGCAGCCACAGAATACAAAGGTCGTAACTAGAAGAGATAATTGTTTGCTTTACTTGTTTAGTTACTGTTCTATGGTTTAAGAAAAATAAATTTAATAACTTATTTCAAAATAGCAATAATCTGTATACATATATAATGTATGATAATTGAAATGTGACTGTATTTTACAAAATACTAGTCTACCAAAACACAGCCAAGAGAAGTTACTTTGTACAGACCAAAGGTCAATTTTATGTTATTTGATATGGTAACATTAGTGTGTGTGGGGAGTGTCATTTTAACTTCTGTACTGTTAGCCAGGCATGGCTGAAAGGTCAATATAATAAATATATATAAATGTATAATGGTAAGAGATTTAAGCTATTTAGTCTAAACATTTATGTTTTTGTGTTGTAATTTGTGTTCATTCTAGAATGAGACATAATTTATATTTATTTCCTAACTTTTTATGGTGGTTGTGAGGTTAGTCAAATCTACCGAACCCATACAGAGATTAATTACTGAAAATAATAGATAAAATATAAAGTTTTTTCTTAAGAAATGTTTGATAACTATCTCAACATTATAAAGATTTTGCATGTAAAATTTCACAA